AATGCAATTTTTACATATGTATTCCCTCTGGAGTAACAACCAATCTGGCATCAACAGAAAAAGATAATGAGAAGTGTAATTACCTAATATAAATGAACTCAGTAGTGGCTGTTTTCCATTTGAAAATGCCACCTGTATCCATTAGCATTTGCAGGCTCCTTCATTCCAATACATTGTCCAGAAGGAAGTACTGAAATATTTAACTGTAAACTTGGAGACACATGTTTGTTCTCAAAGAGTTATAAATATAGTAAAGACAATAGAAATGCTATTGAAATGCTTCAACTTAGATGTGATTAGCAAACAAAGAAGTATATGTTCTTTTGACAGAATAATTAATGAGGAAATCAAGTTAGTAATACATTTTGAGTTAAAAGATGGGGCTGAGAAGTCAGGGGACAAAGAAGTACAATTGAGACTTTGACAAATTTTTCTTGTCAAATAAAGCTAGAATTCATATTCTTCAAGTTCCATACACTTTTTGGCATTTTAATGCTCCTCTCTGCCCCTGCACTAGCAAAAATCAAAAGTCTTTCCATCACACTCTCTAGTATATAAATTGCAGCGTCTGTGAGTATAGACTAGATTTTCCACTGACAGGTAAGCTGTCATGCCAATGAAAATTTAAAACAAGGAATAGACTATTATTAATTACATTTTTCCTGTTAATAAATTTTGCATACATGCTGTTCCATTCTTTTGAGGATAGCAAAAAATGACTATTTAGGGTCTGGCTAAATATCTCTAATTTTTAATTCCTTTTTAGTACTAAATAATGTGAATGCAAAAAATTCAGACATTTCATTGAGTAGAGAATGTGGTTTGAATAACATGATTAATATTCATGAAATTATATATATATATATGTATTTGTAATGCAGGACATTTTTCCATGGCTGTGCTTTGATAGCCTTCTAACATTAAAATTCAACAAAGGAAATTGAACACAATAGCAATAGTAAAATTTCACAGTTCAATTAGGTATCTGTTTATATATTTAGCTTTGCCTTTCAGAAGAAGCACTTTAGCAAGGATCAAATCACATAAGGCTTTATGTTTAAAATGAATCTGATTACAAATGATAAAATGAGTTGACTTCAGTAAACAGCTTTTGAATAATAAACATGCTACCTCCAAAAGTTGAATGTGAAAAGTTGTAAAGTTTGCTTGTTTGTTTCTTCTTCTCTGGTCATATATTACTCTGCTGTCCTATCAGTCAAGGCCATGATAATAGAAATATCTCCTGCCTGTAATAGCCACATTTCTCATATATAATACTTATGTGTGTGAAAAATGATTGAGAAGGTAGACACGTGTCTCCCTAAATCATATTGCCTCCGTTTACTTTCATAGACAAATCTGATTCTACGACGTTGTTTTCCTTTAACATTCAATTAAATGTACTGTTCTCCCTATTGCAAAGTTTGGACATATGATGCCTTCTACAGTAATAAGAAACAACTACTGAAGCTCAACTTTCCATACTCTTCTACCTACTACCCTATCACGCTCCTCATTTAACCATCTTTTTGGAAAGACTCACTGCAAAATATGAGAGTTGAATTCTCTTTTGCTTCTCACTCATTAACTTACATCCATAAATTGTTCACTGAAAACTTTCTCCTCAAATGAATTTTGCTCTGGCTTCCTATCACTTTCATTTCATTTCATTTAATGAATAGTTTTCAGGCCTCATACTTGAAGTTTCAAAATCACTCCAATAGACTGACTAGCTCATCTATATTGAAGCAGTAGCTATCTATATGCTACTCATTTTCCTCTACTTCATCCTCTCTCTCCTTTGCATACTTATAATCTTCTAGTGGATCATTAAAATTTAAAGTATTGGTTTTTACTTGATCAATGAAATTTTAGAAGAAACCTTATACTGATTCATAGTTAAAATTTATTATAAGACAAATTAAGCATATATATAAGCTTAAGATTTGTGCAAGATTTTATTTCATTCATATGTATATCAAACAAACAGTGCAAAAAATATACAAAAATGTATTCAAGTGTCCTATATTCATGTCTACCTTCAGGGTTTCTAATTAAGAACTTGTCCTACCATGGGTAAATTTTTCATTAGGACACATATATTCTACATTATATAGCTCTTTCACATTGTTTAAAAGTATCTGTATAAAATACATGATACTCCTTAGCTTATCTATTTTTTTTAACTTGTAAATATAAGTATTATAAACTCTTGTTATCTACCCTAACACTGCTCCGAACTTCTAATTTGGTGTCCATATTAGAAAAGTATGACATTTTCAAAATAAGTACATGATTGTAAAGTTAGTCAATTGCCTGCCATTGTTCACATAATAAATTAAAAGCTTCATTAAACATTTTGGATATTTATTGTTTCTGACTGAACAATTTCTTTATGGATATCTGTTCTCTCCCTTTTGTTCCTCAAGAGTTCTGCATTTATTCCTACAATTTTGACTACCAGAGAATGTTTGGGCCTCAAACAAAAACATCATCTTTTCAAAGTCACAAATCAAAACACTGTCTAAAAACTTGGAATAGTCTCTGGTTTTAGTAGCTCATAATATTTTTCAATATGAATGAACCTGATAATATGTAAATCTGACAGAGTATTTTTATGTCTGCCACTTCTGGCTATAATTCTTTCTCTCCTGTGTTCCATTTAGTAACTATCCATTTTGAAAATCTCACCTCAATTAAATATGATTTAAGAAGACACATGAATCTACCTTTTCAATTCATCATTATAAGAAAATACATTTCCTTTGTATGTTCTTCCCCTGTTGTCACTGTACTTGATTTTGGTACCCTGCATCTTGTATATACGTTTGTCTAATTTGGGGAGGGGAAATGGAAAAACAAAACACTGAAACAAAGACACAGGATAACCCACTGCAGCAATGATACCCACAAGACAGTATACTGGAAATGAACTTTACAGCTTGAAGGTGGAGGGAGGAATGAGAAATGTGGGGGAGGAAAAGGGATAGTGGGAGAATAATAAAGGAGGGGAAAACAATACTTGACGAGAAATGTACTCCTTAAGTTATGATGTAACTGTAACCCCTCTGTACAACATCTATACAAAAAAATAAAAATTTAAAAAGTATTTCTTATAATCCCATTTCTTTCCCATAAAAATATTAAATTGAGGTCAATGTCCTTGTAAAGTATATTGTTATTTTGCAATGTGTTTCTTCCTCTCTGCAAACTTACATGAGTTATTATGATAATTTTGACAATAGCTATTGAAATTTGTTATTTTGTCTAAGGATCCAAAGCAAATTACAGATACTAACAAATATCAATTTAGTGAATCAATGAACAAATCAATAATCTGCTTCTTTACTAAATATTAGTGGCCAGGACTAACCATTTCTTTCAATTTGAGCCTAACAGAAAAAGGTTATGTAAAGAATAGAATACAGATCAGTTTGTGGGTTGATACGAAGCCTGATTGTAAGATTTTGAGATTGCCCAATAGCATAGCTTTTGTCTCTTATCTCATCTCTCAAATTATGTCCAGAAAACCTGACAAATAGTTCTATCTTGTCAAGGAAGATGGAATTTTTTTCTTCTTTTCCTTTAAAAAATACACAGTGAAGGGGAAAACAACAAAACCTGTGAGAAAGCAAAAAAAAAAAAAGCACAATGCACAAGAAAAATAAAAAATGACATGGCTGGTTGGCACAAACCTTCATTTTTTAATGATCTTAGTAATTTAAATTTTTCAGTCTCTCATGTTGCATGAGAATAAAGTTCATGAATTATGGGTAAATTGTGTTCAGTTCTGTCTAACACTTCGTCAAGGCGCAAATGTACCATCAAATTTGTTCATTCTGTCCTTGATAATGATACCAATATTCTGTTTGGTCCTAGCCATAACATGATACCTGCAATGATGGGACATAGATATTTCTGTCCTTATCTAGCAAGTTCACTAGCTAGAATTTCACCTAATTTGGAGACATCTACATGGATCTGGGACACATTTTGTCACATGACAACTGTCAGTTCAAGAATGTTTTCACACTTCCAGCAACCATTCTGTGACAGAAGGGTTACAATGATTTGGCCACTGGTTCAATAATCTCTAGAATTGAGACTCCATTGTTGAGAGAAGAGTACATAAAATTGTCATCTTACAGATACAGAATTTCATTTATCTAGAAATAACTAACATTGTAGTTTTGCAGGATAGGTGCTCAAAGTATTTCTTACCAAAAAAAGAGAAAACCTTCTAATTCTTTTTTTAACATCCAAGTTGGAGTTAGAACCACTGAAATTTATAATTACAGTTAATTTGCCCTCTAAAATCCAGTATACTCTTACTTGTGCTCAGTATAGAAACTGTTACAAGAGATAATCTACAGTAGATTTTGTTTTCATATACATCCACTCTAGGACACAAACTATGCTGCATGTGATCAAAAAATATTCAAACTCTAACTTATAGACAGGTATATGAGACTGAGGGACCTGGGTGATAACTGGCATAACTTGGTAAGTCTAATGATGAATAATATGTGAAATAACTATTTTGCAGGCGAAATTATGAATTAAAGTGGAGAAACTTCATTAAGTAGTTGTGTTAAAATATAAACATATGCATCTACCTATTCAGTCAACATTATACAGCAACTTTGGTCTCAGTGACCTTTGTAAGTTAAAGAAAATGTTATTGAGAAAATCAATAAAGAAAGGAAATTGACAAGAACACTAATGTTGATTGCATCAAACCCAACAGGGACTTTTAAGAAGTCATTAGCTATGGCGTCAGCGTGTCTGTGTTTTTTTTTTTTTTTAACTAAGATTTACCTATCTGATAATTTAACATTCTAATTACTAGACAGTTAACTGTTATGATTGATAAATTGAATATATGAATCCTTTCTTTCCAAGGACAAAATTTCCCAATGTTACTTTTCTGAGTTAATTATGTGCCAGTCAAGATTCAAACCATTTCAAGACTGTAATCTATAATTATGTGGTTCTCAACGATGCATTTCTGTGCAAATGATAACAGCTGTTTGTTCAGTTGCTGTGTGGCTGTAACCTTCTCATCTGATACTAGTTCTGGAAGCTTAGACAATTGGTAAGGATAGGTGGATTAGAGGTGTGCATGAGAAGTGGGGAAGCTCAAGCTAGAAACAAACGTACAGACATCAGTTCCACGGGATGCACTCAGTTCCACATTAGTGTCTGTTGACTGCACACTGGTGGTATCTATAGTCTCAAGAAGCTCCTGATATTTATCATGGAAGTAAAAATGCACAGATGTTCCATGAAAAGAGTTTCCAGAAAGGGTGAAATAGACTGAGGCCTATCCCTGCCAAGAGATAGTTTAGCATAACACCAACCTGTGAGCAAATCAAGAAATATTTAAATGGCCACTTCCTTATTTCTACCCTCTAGATCTCCATAACTGTCTGTCAGGTAGTTGCTCCCAACCAGAAAAATCCAAGCAAGTATAGTATGAGAAGTATAGGTAAGTCTAGTCAAAGTATCAAATCATGAAATCATAACAGTTTTTTTATCAACCTGGCAATGACCCAGGTCTTCTTAAACTGTATTGAATCTTTAAAGGCAACAACAATCTCACAGTTCTGCCTTCCAGGGAAAACATCTCTGCACAACTGAAAACAGATTCTTCCTTCTTCAGAAAATGATAACAAATCCTTTTTTCCCTACCTTTGGATAATGTCCATTCTTCTAGATGAGTCCTACCCTTCTTCAATAACCTGTTGCTTTCAATTATGTCATTCCACTAGTTTCTATTAACATATGTTGTAAAAAACAAAGAGGTGACAAAGCGGAAGAAAGATAAGAAGATCAAAATATTAAAATACATTGCAAATGATAGCAAAGTAAGGAATAAATATTTCTAGCTGTTTTTGCCAATGGTCATGTCATAGATAGTATTTGCAACTCTCTACTTCCACTACTGCTTTCCTATTGTCTTTGTCCTCTATAAGTACTTAGCTATATACTTGCCTGGTGATCTTACTCAAATAAGAATTTGTGAAGATATGGCATATTAGCATCGTGGTTTGAGCTCTCCTTCATAGTTTTGCGTATCATTCATCACAAGGGCAAGGGAGTGCTAAGAAGAAACCTAATGGATATTTTGAAATCTGGACATACCCATTCTTACTCTGTATTTTGCGATAAAATAGTAATACCACTTATTCAGGGTTAATCAGCCAAGATAGTTCAATACTTCTTTTATTATTTTTTCATGTTGACCCACTAACTAGCGTGATGGATCTAAAAGGATCATTGTAAATTCCAGTTCAATGAAATATTAAATTACTTATTAAAAGCATCATTCTGGAGCTCCACAAGATGCACAAATCCAAAAAGAATTAAATTAAAAGCAAAACAAAACTTAAAGTTGTGAGCAAGGAAATCATAATCTTTGTTAATGGATACATAGGAATAGGAATGATTTAGACCATGTATTTTTGTTATAACAAAGATTTGGATCTTGAAATACATAACACATTCTGAAGGACTTTTTTTTTTTTTTGGTTGGTTGGTCATAGGACTTGAACTATGGGTCTGGGCACTGACCTTCAACAATTCAGCTCAAGGAGAGCACTCAACCACTTCTGCTTTTCTGGTGGTTAATTGGAGTATCATGGACTTTCCTACCCAGGCTGGCTTTGAACCATTATCTTCAGATCTCAGCCTCCTGAGTAGCTAGGATTACAGGCGTGAGCCACTGGTGCCCGACATGAAGGACATTTTAAGCTATATGAGGTTGGCACTTGCACAGTGACATGGTAGTAGGTGATGGATTATGTGATGCAATGATGGTAGGTAGGGAAATGGAGGCGATAGCATATTCAAATACTCTAATTTTGTGAAAAGGGCACAATTCATAACACGCAAATGTTACTGATCCAATGTGATCCATTTGCCAGTTATTTGATGATTCCTCGATATGATGGTGTCATTTTGGAACCTCAAGGTTTGCTGTTACTGTTTATTGAAGAAACAGTGATCAATGGCTCTTATTTACCATGCCTTAGTGAATGGAGCTCATTTTGCTAAGCCCATTCTAATGCCATATTGTTCAAGATTATTTTGTGCCATTGTTCAAGATTATTTTGTGCCAGAAGGATTATTTTACCAATCTACTTAGTTATTAAAATATCATTCTTCTGAGATCAGCTCACAGTAAATGTTTTATACGAGGGACAAATATAATTCAGAGATAAATCCACAGTTCTTCTCCAGTCACATTTCTTCTTGTCTATGCTTGAATGATATCTGTTATCATGTAGTACCATCTGTGAGCCAAGATTAAGGGTGATTCCAGAAAAAGATAATGTAGCAGTAAAAATGTCCATAGGACTTTCTTCAATAGCCTACATGTGAATCAACTTTCACTGAACTGATGCATACTATTTCGGGTTGATAATGAAATACTGGTCTACATGCTTCCCATAAAACATTTGGTTATTTAAAAGAAAAACAAACAAACAAACAAACAACATTTTCACTCATAGTCCAGCCTGCAAGATCTTCTAAGATCAGTAAAAAACCAAGTTCTGTTTCTCACCAGCAACACATTGCTCCCTTGCTCTAAATGCCTAAACAGGGACTAACCAAAAGCTTCTGATGGGATCCCTGGTTCTCATTATCATTTTTAAAGGCCACTAAATCCAATTAATCATGTGCCTTAAGCAGTAGTGAAACCTATACAGTATACCAGCTATCTTGCAGAATATCTTTAAAGTTTCACTTAAACGGCAGTTATTTGTGTGAGTAAATAAGAAAGTCACAGTAAAACAGTCACAAGGTTTAGTGAGCTATTTTGGATTTAGGAAACAGGTGCCATATTTGTAGATGTGCTAGTACAAAGGGCCTCAGTGGGAAACTTATTCTCATTTTAGAAAGAACAATTTGGTACACTTCAGACAAACAATAGACTCATAAAATTTCCAATATGGTATGTGGCCCCAGAACTGGCAAACAAGTAGTCTTACAGTGGTGTCTCCATTTGTTCATCAACTAATGCCACCAATGCAATGGGCTGGTCTGCCTAATTTTAGATGAGAAAGTCAACACATATTTCTACAGACTAAAATATGACTTTGATCTAGATAGCTGACAGGTCCCTGAGGCAGGGAAGTGAATGCGTTTTGCCAGCATCAAATTAGTTCTGATAGTCATTACTAAAATGTATGAGTTTAAAGCATTCATCAGATCACTAGCTGCATGCCAGGTGCCCAAAGATGTATTGATTTCCTCAAGCAATAGAACCCAATATTGCACAGCAGCTGCAATCGGAGTCATTACCCAGTAAACTTCATAAAAATCTCCTGTCCTTCACTAAGATTCATCTGTCTTCTTAGGCCATATAAGCAAGATGAAGTAGGATGTGGAGGAAAAACCATTCCTGTATTCTTTATGTCTGTATTAGTGACATTAATGATTGCAAACATATAAGATATGATATATTACCTCTGCTCTACTATTTTCAAAGATAGAGGTAGCAGCTACTCTTTGCTCTTTCCTACCATAATAATCCTAATTGTACACATCAGAGAACCAGGGTGGGGATTCTCTTCCGTTCCTGGATATGAGTAAAATATATCAGACTATGAATTTGAGAATAAAGAATATAGTTATAAGGCAGTGTCATAACCACTGGGACCACTACCATATGGATGTGAAACACAAGTTTTAAAAGTACAGAAGGACAATTGACTAAACATGTGAGACTATAAAGAATTCTTCTTTGAGGTTTCTCAACTACTGTAATATTTAAGGGATTCTGGAGCAATGGTCTAATTTACATCAGAAATGCATTGTATGTGTTTTACTCCTTGTTATAGTACTTCATATAAGAGGTCTTTTCATTGAACCTAAAGTCTTTTTCTATTATACATGAAGTAATGCCTTAGTTGTTGTTCACTATTAAATTTATAGGAACATTATGATCAACTAGACAATTCCAGTGATATCTGTTAGATATCTAGTATCTGTTACAATAACCAGGCTTCCCTTCTCTTTGGTGATTCTGTGGTAACACTGGATCTATGCCACACACACCCCCTTTATTAACAATGCATTAAGGAACTTCAATTTGATAATAACATTTTCCCAATGTTATATTCTACCTACAGGCAGATCCACCCCAGAATATTTCAGTGACTTTGGTGCTCCACTTAACAAACTTGATTTTTAGGATCATTTTGAAAGGAGTAGCTGCTAGAAACCATGTAGAATAAGCAGGTATTGTGACAAAATTCACTACAGGATTTCATTCTCTCTGTGATAGGAGATTCTTCAAATGTGACCTCAACAACCTTCAACTTTGTTCTACTTGAAGGTGGACAGAATCCATGAACAAAAATTCTATCATGATTTTATCAACTTATATGTAAAGAGAAGTGTTTTTTGATGGATTCTAGTTTCTAAATTAATAAGTAATCAAAAAGTAGCAAAAGAATTTAAAATTCTTAAAAGAAGAGAAGGTTTCCTTAGTAGACTGGAAAGTTTAAAAGAAAACAAAAAATCAGAAACAGCCTCAGAAAAACAAAACACTTAAATAAAATAAAACGGCCTCAAGGGAAAAGCAACCTGAAAAAGTTAAAAGCAATCATCTAGCTAACTACTAATTAGAAACTTCATGAATACCAGATGAGAAAGAGGCACAGTCCTGAGCACCACTCCAGAACCTTCCTTCACTCCAAGTCCCAGCCAGACTGGGCACCTAAACCATGTAACTAACTAAATATGTAGTAAAATTGCAACAGATTAGTGGCTAAGTATATGGGAATTCAATATAGTAGCAACATATGAGCAGTGTAATCCTAAATGTTTGAAAAACTTATCAGGACTATATGGAACCAAATGAATAAATTAAGTCAGAGTTGAAGTTTAGGGATTGCATTTGGATTTGACTATCAGGTGATATGGATAGTAATGAGGTATCTCACAATTTCTCTATGATAATCGGTAGGGATTAATCAATTATTTTTCACAAGGTATGTTAAAAAGTAAGCTTTGCTGACTCTTACATCAGGAAGAATAGATGTCTATGTCATTCATAATTGAAGTACTTAGTTTAATTCAGTTGGA